AGGGGAGGCGCAGGAGACCCTGAGCACTCTGGGGATTTCACTTCCAAGGCTCCGAGATGTTTCCAGGTCAGACTTGGGATGGGTGGAGGACTGAGGCATGGGCCAGGAAGCAGATCCCCCTTTGGTCCCATGTTCACCAAAATTCTCACTTGCCTCCCCAGGAACACATCCTTTTAGCAGACCCCACTGGAAATCTACACAGAACTACAGCTCCTCTCCTCAGAGCAAGGCACATAAACACACACACATTTTTCATGCAATTTCAGGGAGTTCACAGATCTTAAGAGTCTCTTTCATGGATGCCACTCCACCAGGGAAGCTGGCCAACGATTTCAAAGCCCAAGGCCTGTGGAATCGTGGAGATGAATGATACACTGGGTACCCTCCTCACCTGAAGAGCCGGGGCTCACGGATGTGCTCTGGTCCCAGGGCCATGCCCCTCATGTACTCGTAGCACAGCCCATTCTGGAAGGTGCAGTAGAGTTTGGGGGCACAGCCATGTGCTCGCAGCAGCTGGAAGTTCCTGACCTCATTCTCCCGGTCCACCAGCAGCTCTGTCCGCTCCCCGTACACCCGGACCAGCACACAGTCCCGCATGTCCTCCTCCACGTAGCAGGCCACCAGCTTGTTGGTAATGCCATCAGTGAAGCGCTGGCATGGGGGAGAGGGCAGCGCAGGGATGTGTGGGGCAGGGACTCTGCTCTTGCCTCGTGGTGACCCAGCTCCAGCACAGGGTGCTCGTTTGAATGCTGAGCACAATCGCACAGAACCCCCGTCCTTTAGCCCTCTCACTTAGTAAAGAGCTCAGCACTGCTCCTAACCCTCCACCCTCTCCCAATGCTTGAGGTAGACCAGAGAGTTCAAGAAAAAAATGGCAGCTTGGGCTCAGCCTAGGCATGCTTCTCCTGGGTCTGCCTCTAGTGGCAGGAATTTTCACACCACTTACCGCCCGCCCCTCCACTTTTCACTCTCCCATGGGGCCCTGAAAGAAACCTCCATGGACCAGGATGCGGCAGGGGGAGGGGAGTCACCTAGGACGGGTACAGCCTGACCCACCTTGCCTCTCACCACCTGCCAGGCAGAGGGCTCCCCACGCAGTGGCAGAGGTACAGGAGGTTACTGAGGTTGGCACCCACCCCAGGGCCAGGTGGTCAGAGCTCCTTAGGGCCAGAAGAGACAGAGACAGTAGATCCTGGGCAGGTTCTCTGGGTAGGGTGACAAGGAGGAATGAACCATGGAATTTATGGGGCACGGTGTGAGAGAGCTGGAAGGGGCCTTAGGGACATTTGAAGTAATAAAAGGTGGGGAAACTGAGGCCCAGAGAGGGGAGGGACTGGAAGACAGCATGTTAGGCCAGTGCTGGAATTAACCTCAGGCCTGCTTGATGCCCTGATGGTTTTACACCAAAGTTGCCTTTTATTTTGAAAATGTTACCCACTCACCCCTCCCCCAAAAGGGGGTCTGTCAACCTTCACACACGGTCCTGAACCGCACCTTTCCCCACCCAGAAGGCCCACCAGCATGGAGTCCCTACCACTCCAGCATAAGCTGCAGGTGCCCACTCAGGGCAGCATCCTCCACAGGCAGCTCCCAGAGGGAATGGGACAGCTGAAGACTCTTTACAGAGGAGGCAGGTCTGCTGGGAAGTCAGCCTGAGGCTCCTCAGGGGGAGCCTCTGCCCACGTCTGTGTCCCTGCCAATGTGCCCAGCAGAGAGAGGAGGTGCCCTGTGTAGGGGGAGCTGAGGCAGAGCTAGGGGCGATGGTGAGGCTTTCCACGCAGCTCAGGGCTCGGGGCTAGCTGGAATTCCTCAGGGTGGCTCCTGGGACCAGCAGGAACAGCTCGGAGCCCGGAGGCTTTGCTCCCACTATGGGGTGTGTGAGTGTGGGGGGTGCCCTTAAAAGTTCCTGCCTCCGCAGGTTTCAGAGCCGGATGGCTACTTGCTTCTGGGCAGCGAGGGGCACCGGCGCACAGCGACAGGGGGTGGGGCCCGCACGCACAACGTGCTGACAGTGGGCAGGTGGATCTCCCGCGTGCCCGAGAGCCCCAGGAGGAGGGGTGTGTGTGGAGGGCCGAGGGAGGCGGGAGCCTAGCTTTGCTTAGGGATCAAAATAGATGAAGAAAGAAATACATACGCAAACCACCATTTCAACCCTCTTCTGGGCAGCAGCCGCGCACCCCTGGGACCGACACCCGGAAGGATGCACGAACACACGTCCACGCATCCCCGTTCCAGCCCCGGCGGGGCCCCATCCCCTGCCCCGCGCCCGCTCTGCTACCTTGGTCCGAACTTGCTGGGGCTTCCAATGTGGCCGCAGCTCCCGGATGAGGCGCAGGGCGCCGGGGAGGATGTCGTCCTGGTCCACGGATATGCCGAAGCACGGGACGGCGGCGGCCCTCGGGGGGCCCGGCGGTTCCCGGCAGCCCGCGCCGGCCGCAGCCTTCTCCTCCATGCCCCATGAGCACTGCGGGCAAGGCGCCTGCCTCCTCAGGTAAAAGGGCGAGCACGGCAGGGGAGCCGAAGGGGGCACAGCCATTCCCTGCAGCCCCACCCCCTCGGAGCCGCCGCGCGGACGCTAGCCCCCGCGGGGGGGCCCGGCGCGGGAGTGGGAGTGGTAGAGGAGGGGCCAGGGGAAGTCCATGACTCAGGAGCCAGCGGCCCGCTTCGATCGCCGCCTCGCAGCCGGGCGCCCGAAGCCGAAGCCGACCCGGGAACGCCGGGGCCCGCCGCGATTGTGACATCATGGGCCGCGGGGCGGGGGCCGCGGGAACGCTCCCCCCCCACCCCGCCCCGCCCCGGCCCGCTGGCCGGTGGGGGTGCGCTGCCTGCCACCGCGGGCGGCTGCGGCCACAGTTACCTGGAGAGCCTGGCGGGGTGACGCCCCCGGAGAGGCCGTGACGCAGGGGGCGGGGCCCGGGGGG